TAGATAGATAGATAGATAGATAGATAGATAGATAGATAGATAGATAGATAGATAGATAGATAGATAGATAGATAGATAGATAGATAGATAGATAGATAGATAGATAGATAGATAGATAGATGGGTTAGGGCTCCAAAAACCTGGGTTCAAATCCATGTTCAGCGGTGGAAACTCATGAGTAGGTAAAATTGATGAAACCACTCATCTTGAAAGCCCTATTAGGATTAATATAAATTGGTTTTGACTTTATGGCACATATCACACACATGCATACTATAGATAATACTCATAACAACAACTTCCCCACCTTGTGTTAGGATCAGAAAAGTGATGCTAAGCTTCTGCCTACATAGGCTATGTGAATGAGTTTAACATGAACGGCTAGGCTTCTGTTTAAAAATTCTGGTTAGGAAATTTTATGTAAAACAAGCTAATTCTTAACCATAATGGTTCTGAAGCCATTTTGGAAGGCTCATGATGTGCTGGTGCCTAATGACATTTCAAGGCAGTGCTTTCTTGGTGTTCTATAGAATCCATATTTTGTATGGAATCCATAACATTCTACCAAAAAAATAGTTAGCTGCTTCTCCTTGCTCCTGCTGCCAGTGGAAGGATCTCAGTGATTTTTTTCTTTATACAGTATGTTTGCCTGTCTGTGCTAATTAGCAAAACTTCCTTTACTTTAATTAAGTTAGGGATGTAGAGAAGTTAATGAAACCTGTCTGCTTAGCTTCTCACCCAGATAGAATTAACTCCCAAGCAAAGCAAAGGTATGGTTTTCTTTGATCTTTTATAACATCAAAGCCGAAATGGGATTTTCCTCTTCTGTTTTGTTTTGTTTTAATTTGACATTATGTATCCTGAGGTCAAAATGAATATAGGTTACTCTTCTCCCTTATCTTGTAATTTGCCACACATTAAGTGCAAATGTGGAAAACATTAGCTGAAGTCTAATAAAGTAGTGTTACTTCATAAGTCTGTTATTAGATGCAGCTGTATTTTCATAATTAAAAGTTTCTTATCCACTACTGAAGTGGCTGAAGTCTGGTAATATAAAATTATATTTTATAATATTAATAGGCACACAAGTCTGATACACCAAACATGTTTGGATCTGATGGAACATCATTTCGAAATGTATACATTTTTTTGCATGTTTGTGGGTAAAGCATTAAATATCTCATCATTTCAAATCAAATAAATAAATAAATAA